CAAGAGAGTAACAAACATAAAAAGAAGGGGAGATAAGGACGATAGATGTTTGATTGGAAAGAAGAAGCAAACCACACCAGAGCACCCGCCAACAGTTATTCTTGATGTATAATATATTTTTGAAATATTCAAATAAAACTGAATGAAATGCAAACATTAACAACTTCTCAGAAATCAAGCATAATGTTCTATTTCAAATATTCACTACCAGTGCATTGAAGAACAAAATTGTATAAAATTGAAGTTTCCAGATAACCTCAAGGAAGGTGATGGTTATTTAAAGTGAAAGCTCCAGGTGTTGACCATTTCTGTCCATACAAGATCTAACGCGCCACTGGAAATTTTGAATAACCCTGTGGTATGTTTCTTGTTTCTGGGTCGATTCTTTGGATGTCCTGTTAACATGTTAACATTACATTTGGTCGCTTTCAAAGACTAGCGGGCTAACCCAGATTTCGGAGGTTTCCAGAAATCTTGACCTACACCAAAAGTCAGCATTGCTCTACTTATAGGAGAAGTTTGGTTTCATTGGTATGTATTTTTGTTTGGTTATAGAGAAAACTTTCCTCGTCTTTTAAAGATAGATTTCATGAGTCTAAAAACGTTATCTTCGATTTTCTCAAAACAGCATTTTTCGGGATAGCCATCTGATGCTTAAAAGCGACCATTTCAACTGTTGGATTGTTTGTGGGTTGTTTACGTAGATTGTCTGTCGAAAGCCACAAAGGAAATGAATTAAGGGGTTCGAGTCGATCGAATGAGGTGGCCATTCATTTCTAAGATTTCGGCTTACAAGGCGTTCCCCAAAACTTTCTTATAACCAGAAAAAGGCCCCTCTTGAGCTGTCCATCTGATGTGACTGTCGTGATTTTATCATCCTCGATCTAAAATGAGAATGGAGCGATCTCGCCTCTGCAGCTGATAGAGTTTTGTATTTTACTCAATTCTGGTTCAAATTTAAAAAAAGAAAAGAAAAGAAAAAGAAGAAATTAAAAACAACTTGATAATTTTTCGAACATGTTGATTGATTTTCTGTACATTGACAAACTGGACGCCCCTCTTGTAGAATTTTGTTGTTGTTGTTGTTGTTTAGTTGAGGTTTTACGGCGCTCGCAACTGCATAAGGTCATATGAGCGCCATATGAGGGGGTGGGGGAGGGGGTGGGGGGTCTGAGTTACTGCCCTTTAAGTGGGTCCTCTATTCTTTGTCACCCTGTACTTGTGGCTATCCCCGATGTCTCAGGTACTGTTTCAGTTCAGGGCTGTGTTGATATATACTTCATTATGCATTGACAAAAGGGCGGGAGATTGGTGTGTGTGTGTGCGTTTGAGTGTGTGTGTGTG